CTTGCTCACTGTTTTCTTTGAGTTCTGTTAGATTGTTTGTTACGTTAGGGCCTTGCGCACTGGTTTTTTTTAGCTTTGTTGGATTGTTTGTTACGTTAGTGTCTCACGCGTTGTTTCCTTTGAGTTCTGTTAGATTTTTTGTTACGTTGGTGCCTTGCGCACAGTTTTCTTTGAGATCTGCTAGATTGTTTGTTACGTCAGTGCCTTGCGCACTGTTTTCTTTGAAATCTTTTAGAGGTTTTTGTGCGTTAGTGTCTTGCGCACTTATCTTCTGAGTTCTGTTTTATTGTTTGTTACGTTAGTGCCTTGCGCACTGTTTTCTTTGATTTCTGTTCGATTGTTTGTTACCCTAGAGTCTTGCACACTGTTTTCTGTGGGTTCTGTTAGATTGTTTGTTACGTTAGTGCCTTGCACACTGTTTTCTTTGAGTTCTGGTAGTTTTATTGTTACGTGAGTGCCTTACGCACTGCTTTGTTTGAATTCTGTTAGACTGTTAATTACGTTTGTTCCTTGCGTAAAGTTTTTTTTTGTTGTGTTGGGTTGTTTGTTACGTTAGTGCTTTGCGCAGTGTCTTCTTTGACTTCAGTTTGATTGTTTGTTACAGTACTGCCTTGTGCACTGTTTTCTGTGAGTGCTGTTAGATTGTTTGTTACGTTAGTGTCTTGCGCGCTTTTTTCTTTGCGTTCTGTTAGATTGTTTGTTAGGTTAGTGCCTTGCGCACTGTTTTCTTTGGGGTGGGTTAGATTGTTTGTTACGTCAGTACCTTGGGCATTGTTTTCTTTCAGTTCCGTTAGATCGTTTGTTACGTTAGTGTCTTGGGCATTGTTTTCTGTGAGTTCTGTTTGATTGTTTGTTACGTTAGTGCTCTGCGCACTGTGTTTTTGAATTGTGTTGGATTTTTTGTTACGTAAGTGCCTCGCGCAGTCTTTGACTTCTGTTTGATCCTTTAATACATCACTGCCTTGGGCACTGTTTTCTGTGATTTCTGTTAGATTGTTTGTTGCGTTAGTATCTTGCACGCTGTTTCGTTTGAGTTCTGTTAGATTGTTAGGTTAGTGCCTTGTGCACGGTTTTCTTTGAGGTCTGTTAGATTGTGTGTGACGTGAGTTCCTTGCACACTGTTTTCTTTTAGTTCTGTTAAATTGTTTGGTGCGCTAGTGTCTTGCGCACTGTTTTCTTTGAGTTGTGTTTGATTGTTTGTTACCTTAGTGTCTTGCACACTGTTTTCCGTGAATTTTCTTAGATTGTTTGTTACGTTAATGCGTTGCGCACTGTTTTCCTTGAATTGTTTGATTATTTGTTAGTTAGTGCCTCGCGCACTGTTTTCTTTGAGTTCTGTAAGATTTTTTGTACGTGAGTGCCTTGTGCACTGTTTTGTTTTAGTTCTGTTAGATTGTATATTACGTTAGTGCCTTGCGCTTTTTTTTGAGTTGTGTTTTAGTGTTTGTTGTGTTGAGTTGTGTTGGATTGTTTGTAACGTTAGTGTCTTGTACACTGTTTTATGTGAGTTCTGTAAGATTTTTTGGTACGTGAGTGCCTTACGCACTGTTTTGTTTTAGTTCTGTTAGATTGTTTATTACGTTAGTGCCTTGCGCTTTTTTTTGAGTTGTGTTTTAGTGTTTGTTGCGTTCGTGTCTCACGCACTGTTTTCTGTGAGTTCTGTTTGACTGTTTGTTACGTTAGCGCCTTGCGCACTGTGTTCTATGAGTTCTGTCAGCTTGATTGTTACGTTAGTGCCTTGCTCACTGTTTTCTTTGAGTTCTGTTAGATTGTTTGTTACGTTAGTGTCTCGCACACTGTTTTATTTGAGTTTTGTTTGACTGTTAGTTACGTTATTGTCTCGTGCATTGTGTTGTATTTTGTTCTATGAGATTGTTTGTCTCGCGCACTGTTTTGAATGAGGTTTGTTTGACTGTTAGTCACGTTAGTGTCTTGTGCACTGTTTTCTTTGAGTTCTGTTTGACTGTTTGTTACGTTGGTGCCTCGCGCACTGTTTTCTCTGTGTTCTGTTTCATTTTTTGGTACGATAGTGTTTCGCGCACTGTTTTCTCTGTGCTCTGTTTGATTGGTTGTGACGTTAATGTCTCGCGCACTGTTTTCTCTGTGTTCTTTTTGGCTGTTTGTTACGTTAGTGCCTCGCGCAGTGTTTTTTGTGTTTTGTTTTTTTTTTGTTTGTGACGTTAGTGTCTCGCACACTGTTTTTTCTATGTTCTGCCTGACTGTTTGCTACGTTTGTGTCTCGCGCACTGTTTTCTCTGTGTTCTATTTGATTGTTTGGTACGTTAGTGCCTCGCGCACAGTTTTTCGTGTGTTCTGTTTGACTGTTTGTTACGTTGGTGCATCGTGCAGTGATTCGTCTGTGTTCTGTTTGATTGTTTGTTACATTAGTGCCTTGGGCACTTTCTTCTCTGTGTTCTGTTTGATTGTTTGTTACGTTAGTATCTCGTGCACTGTTTTCTCTGTGTTGTGTGTGATTGTTTCTTACGTTAGTGTCTCGCACACTGTTTTCTCTGTGTTCTGTTTAACTGTTTGTTACGTTGGTGCCTCGTTCACTGTTTTCTCTGTTTTCTGTGTGATTGTTTGTTACGTTAGTGCGTCGTGCACAGATTTTCATTGCTCAATTTGATTGTTTGTTGCGTTCGTGTCTCGCGCACTGTTTTGTTTGTTTTGTTTTATTGTCTGTTACGTTAGTGTCTCGCGTACTGTTTTTCCTGTGTTCTGTTTGATTGTTTTGATTGTTTGTCACGTTAATGTCCCGCGCACTGTCTTTCCTATGTTCTGTTTGGTTGTTTACTACGTTCGTGTCTCGCGCACTGTTTTTCTTGTGTTCTGTGTGATTGTTTGTTACGTTGGTACCTCGCGCAGTTTTCTCTGTGTTGTGTTTGATTGTTTGTGACGTTTATGTCTCGTGCACTGTTTTCTTTGTGTGCTGTATGATCGGATGTTACATTAGTGTTTCGCGCACTTTTTTGTGTGTGTTCCGTTTGATTGTTTGTTACGTTAGTGCCTCGAGCACGGTTTTCTCTGTGTTCTGTTCGCTACGTTGGTGCCTCGCGCAGTTTTGTCTGTGTTCTGTTTGATTGTTTGCTACGTTAGTGCCTCGCGCATTGTTTCTCTTTTTTCTGTTTGATCATTTATTTTGTTGGTGCCTCGCGCACAGTTTTTCCTGTGTTCACCAACGTAACAAATAGTCAAGCAGAACACAGAGAAAAACGTGCGCGACACACTAACGTAACAAACAGTCAAACAGAACACAGGACAAACTGTGCGCAAGGCAGTAACGTACCAAACACTCAAACAGAACACAGAGAAAACAGTACACGAGACACTAATGTAACAAACAATAAAAATGAACACACAAAAAAAAACAGTGCGCGAGGAACTAACGCAACAAAAATTCAACAGAACTCAAAGAAAAAAGTGCGCGTACACTAACGCGAAAAACAATCAAACAGAGCTAAAAGAAAACAATGCACGAGACACTAACTTAACAAACAATCGAACAGAACACAAAGAAAATAGTGCGCGAGACATAAACGTCACAAACAATCAAACAAAACAGACTAAACTGCGCGAAACACTAACGTAAAAACAATCAAGCAGAACATAGGAAAAAACTGTGCGCACAAACGTAACAAACAGTCAAAGAGATCACAGGAAAAACAGTGCGCGAGACACTAACAAAACAAAGAATCAAACAGAACGCAGGAAAACCAGTGCACGGGACACTAACGCGACAAACAATCAAACAGAACATAGGAAAACGGGTGCACGAGACATTAACGTAAAAACAATCTAACCGAACACCAGCAAAACAGTGCGCGAGACGCTAACGTAACTAACACTAACGCGACAAACAATCACACAGAACACAGAGAAAACATTGCGCGAGACATTAACGTCACAAACAACAAACAGAAAACAGACAAAACTACGCGAAACACTAACGTAAAAACAATCAAGCAGAACACAGGAAAAAACTGTGCGCAAGACACTAACGTAACAAACAATCAAAGAGAACCCAAGCAAAACAGTGCGCGAGGCACCAATGAAACAAACAGTCAAACAGAACACAGGAAAAACTGTGTGCGAGGCACTAACGTAACACACAATCAAACAGAACACAGAGAAAACAGTGCACTAGGCACAAACGTAGCAAACAATTAAAGAGATCACAGGAAAAACAGTGCGCGAAACACTAACGTAACAAACTATCAAACAGAACAGGAAAAAACTGTGCGAGGCACTAACGTAACAAACGATCAAACACAACAGAGAGAAAACAGTGCGCGAGGCAGCAATGTAACAAACAGTCAAAAAGAACACAGGAAAAACAGTGCGCGAGACACTAACATAAACAATAAAACAGAACACAAGCAAAACAGTGCGCGAGACACGAACGTAACAATCAATGAAACGGTAGCGCATCGTGTACAGATTTTCTTGTGATCTGTTTGACTGTTTAGTTAGTGTGTCGCGCACTGTTTTGCTTGTGTTCTGTTTGTTTGTTTGTTACGTTAGTGTCTCGCGCACCCGTTCTCCTGTGCTCTGTTTGATTGTTTGTTACGTTAGTGTCTCGCCCACTGTTCTTCCTGTGATCTCTTTGATTGTTTGCTACGTTCGTGTCTCTGTGCTCTGTTTGATTACTTGTTACTTCTGCGTCCCGCGCAGTTTTTCCTGTGTTCTGTTTCGACTCGCGCTATGATTTCTGTTTTTTTTTTCGCGCTAATGTCTCCCACGCATTTTTTTTTTATGTGTTTTGTTTAATTGTTAAGTTTCTAGTACGCAACTGTTTTGGTTTTTCATTATTCTGTTTGATTATTAATAGTATCCCGCCCATTCTCAGCATAGTTGTGTTCAGTCTGATTGTTACCTCAGTTGCGCTCTGTGTTGCCGTATGCTTTGTTCAGTAGATTCATGTGTTTTTATCATGTGTTTATATCTCGAAATCGCCTTATTTTACTCGTTTTTCTTTCCAATAACTTTACCTTTTTTTTCAGATTTGGCCGTCGTGTGCCTTTTTGTGTCTTCATGATCATCGGTGGAGTTGCGTGTCTTCTTGTTCTTATTGTTCCTAAAGGTATGCTTCTAACTTATTGACTGAATTTGATTTCCAGTTCGCAACGTCATAGCATTCTCGACCTCTTTTTACTTGCTACTTTTGAAGTAGCTTTGTTATTGGTTAAAGCCATTTCGCGTCACGTGACTATTCCATAGTAGTTAATTGTGTAATGAAGTATCCATTTTAGTTAACACCTCAACATCAGTGCGTGTATTCTTCATACTGTTCTCTACACATTTCCTATCACACTGACAAGGAGAATTTATTTAACAATCAAAGGCTTCTTAAGGCGATGATTTCTTTTATTCTCATGACCTTAATATGTGATTCAGTAGTGATTCTGTAAGGAGAAATTAGCTGTAAATCACTGATAGAGGTGAAAAACAGGTGATACACATCTAATGGTTGGGACGAATGATACATCATACGGTGATTGTATGGTGTGAGAGGGGTTATGTCAGAGAGGGGATTGGGGAGGAGTAAGATTTCGTCTCGGAGACGGTTACAGGGGGTGAATTTAAAGATATTGAGGAATGAAAGTGATGTGAGTTTCAGTAGAAATTTATCATTTTATAATAATTAAATTTTTACAGACGAAGAACGATTCATCAGAATTCTCGCTTTTATTGGACGCGGCTTTGTTACGATGTCATTTTCAATCTTATATCTGTATAGCAGTGAACTGTACCCTACTTCCATTAGGTGAGACAAAAAAAGACTGATTCTCTTATTCTGATGAGATGCTTAGTGATCGAGTGAAATCCAATCCAGTTTATTTGGTTCATGGAAGCTATGTTATGTTGCTCTCTTCATTGCAGTTGTTTCTGTCTGTGTGCTTGTGTTTAGTTAGGTTGGTGCATTAGCGCAAATGGATCTATTCTTACTCTCACCCTGATATTTTCTTGATTGTCACGTTAGCAGTTTGCATTCGCTTCTTTCTCCTTTCTCATTTTTGCACAAGTAATTAACGTTATGTATGTGTTCATGTCTAAATGGTCGGTAGTTATGCACAACACATTGTTTCTTTTTGTTTCAGCAATGTGCATTCTCTTGCTTGATTAAGTTGGTTAAGATTTATGTTCTCCCTTGTTCCCTGCCCTGTCCGCTGTTTGAAATATCAAAATAGCATCCGGCATATCTTTCCTGTGTGAATTACTCTCAATAGGAACCTTGCTGTTGGGACTTGTTCAACTATTGCTCGCCTTGGTTTTATTTTGGCCTCCTATATTGTTATGCTGGTAAGTAATATGTGCTTATGGACTACGTTGGGGAGCTGAATATCAATGGTAAAAATTACAGTGATACACTGACAAAGTCCAGAGAATGAAGGCTGGATCGAAAAAACGGACTCACCACGTTCCTACCATGAATCTGTAGATGATTGAATTTTAAGTCATTTGCATCAAAGTGTATTTTAAACGTGTAATTTTTTTCCATCTCGCAGTCGCAGTTACCCGGACTCAGTGTTATTTTTCCGATGGTTGTCTTTGGAGTATTAGCTTTAACCGCTGGCCTAGTGATACTTTGGCTTCCAGAGACTCTCAACTCAAACATGTGTCAGACGTTGGACGAAACAAATCGACAAAATGAATATTATGGGTTTATATGGATGGAGAGACGTGTTAATATTCCATTTTCATTTTCAAGGTGAGACACCGGTTTGGCAATGGGGGGAGGGGTGGTCTGAGGATTTTTCCGGGGGGATCACATGGTTCTCAGCGAGGACAAAGGGGGGATCAATAGGTAACTACCAATAACGGGGGATCACTAGGATAACACAGAGCGTCAGTGGGGGATCAGGTAGATTTTATTGTGACAGCCATAATCCTCTGACCTCATCGCCCCCCCTCCCGATGATAAATATTGACTGGTCCCTTAACCCTTTCACTCCCAAGATCTTATTAGTAATTCTCCTTACTGTCTGCTGTACAATTCTTATGATTTTAGTTCTGAGAATTTGTGACTGGATCAACTGTTAATCCTTAATTGATATTTCTCTCTATTCTCATCACCTGTTTGCCATAAATTGTATGGATATTGTAGGGAGAAATTCAGTCGTGGTCACTCATGGGAGTTAAAGCCTCATACTGAGTGTCGCCTGTGATTCAGTGAGAATCAAGTGAAAACATAGCAAGAAAAAGTGAATGAATACTAAGTAGCGTTTTTCTGTTTAGACTCAGGTCTTCAGGCGCTGCACATGTGCGTGTTGTTTCCAACGAGGGGGTTCAAGTTGGGGAGGACAGTGACGGTGATGATGGTGATACCGTGGACAATGCTCCATTGATTACTTGACAGAAGATAGTCAATGTTTGATTTGAATCATATTTAATTTTAAAGAAGGAACATGATGACAAAGGTAAAACAATTGTACAGTGTTTTGTAATTCAAGGTAACCTTTTCCAGGCCTTCAGCGGTTGTCGGCATGCAAGTGCGGAGGCTGGGGAGAGACAGGCTCTCTTACTTTGTGCGCATGCCGTTGTTAACAATCCAGAGCTTGGAATGGGTTACTATGGTCATTGGTTATCGTGTTTAGTTAAGTGCGATCTATAATGGTAATTTAATTGGGTGGGGTGGAATTTGGTCTGTAATCATAGAGTTATATAAAATTAGACGAGCACGCAGCGCAAGTTTGATTTGAAATCACAACAATGATTTCAGACCAAAATTGCACTACAGTAAGTTCATTTTACACTTTATTGTATACATTCTGAAATTGCAAAATTCATTCGCTCAAATATGGATTTTTTAGTGCGTAGAAATGATTTATTGATTCAGTACTGAAATGGTTAGTAAAAAGTTGCAAAAGTTTTCTTTCATTTTCCTCGAATATAACTGGTCTCTTTAAATAAGCCTTGAAATCTGATAGGTTGTTGTAAAAAGACGCGATGTAGAGTAAAATATGGTGCAATTCTTGAATAAAAGCACCAACGAGAGCCAGTCATATTGCTAAGATCATCATCAGTGATTTCAAAATGGATGTAATAGATGTATCAATCGCACTGCTTGAATTCAACAAATTGCATAGATCATCAGACTTGAAATTATGTAATGGAGCTAAAAACATCCTTTTTTGAGCCTTTATTTTGTTGTTATAAGGTTTATATGAGGTTATTTATTATACACTTTCTATAGTTCGCACAACGCATCAAGCCAAAGATATAGTTAGATACAGTATAAAGTAGTTGGCACAATTACACAACTAATTGTTTTGATATTGTGTTTTGCTAAAATTCTTCAAATTTTTTCTTACTTGTAATTTTGAATCTCTCAATTTTATATCTCTTTTTATTTGTAATTATATTTTAAGTATATCTTGTTTTTCAAATTAAGCGTTTAAATTGTTTTAAAATTAATAATTTTGACTATACCTTGAAATTATACTCCCCCATCGTTAGCTCAACTACTGTTAATGTGGAAGATATTTCACTTTTATCTTGGATGTTGTAGGGTATAAATTTTATTAGGGATCAATTTTATTTGTTTTCAACAGAAATGTCTTTTGTATAATTAAGACGACGAGACATTTCCAGAAGAGCAGAATACTTAATTCCCTATTGTGTAAAAGAATCAAAAATAAAAATCCTGTGTGGGCTTTAAAGAGCACCTCTGTCTGTCGAAACAAAATAATTTAGAACAAACTCGACTGCAAGTACTTGGGTATGGACGTAAGCCTCCTAAAAGTCATCAACGAATGTCTATCGCTTAAATGTTCATGAGTTTATTTCACATCCGTTAAGAGGACTTCCCGAACCTTTCATAGTGCGTTATAAATAACTTTTTAACCTTTCGATTGTTTGCAAGTTTCAAAGTCACAGCCCTTTTTTTGGAATGAGAAAATCCTCTCTGAATATTAAAACAAAAAAAAGTTTGTTTATAAGCAAATATAAATTTTTTAAACCAGGGTTGACTTGAGGTCCCCAAATGCTTATTTGCCAATTTCTATTGTTTAAATATTCATGAGCTCGTATCTCTGGCAAAATGAAGATTTCGCAAAAAATTCATATTGTGTTCGAAAGAGCTTGATTGCGTGTCGATTGTTTGCAAGTTTTAAAGTTAAAGCTCTTTTTTGGAACGAGAAAATCCCCGCTGAATATTAAAACAAAATAGTTTTGTTAATGAGCAAAAATAGACCTGTTAGACAAGGGCTTGCTCAAGGTCCACAAAAACTAATTAACCAATTTCCATTGTTTAAATATTCATGGACTGATATCCATGGTAAAATGAGGATTTCCCGGACAATTTATAGTGTATCAGAAAAGGTTTGATTAGCTGTCGATTGCGAGCAAGTTTCAGAGTCGCAGCTTCTTTTTGGAACGAGAAAATACATGCTAAATATTTAAACAAAAGAGTTATGTTAATAAGCAAATAAAGATTTTTAAAACAGGGTTACCTCAAGATCCCCAAACGTTCATCAGCCAATTTCTTTTGTTTAAATATTCATGGGCCGATATCTCTGGCAAAATGAGGATTTTCTCGGACAGTTCATGGTGTATCAGAAAAAGCTCGATTAGCTGTCGATTGCGACCAAGTTTCAGAGTCACTGCTCTTGTTTTGGGAACGAGAAGATCCCTGCTGAATATTTAAACAAAAGAATTTTGTTAATAAGCAAATACAGGGTTAGCTCGAGGTCCCCAAATGCTCATCAACCAATTTGTAAATAGACCTGTTGAACTAGGGTTGGCTCAAGGTCGACAAAAGCTCCTAAACCAATTTATATGAAAGCTTGATTAGCTGTCGATTGTGTGCAAACAAAATAAAATAATTTTGTGATGATGAGCAAAATGGGACTCTTGAATTAGGGTTGGCACGATGTCCCTAAAAACTCATTAATCTGTACCCGTTATGATGTAAATGTTTAAAAAGGTAGGTAAAGAAATGAGCATACAGCTCAAAGTAAACTGTCTTTGCATCTCTTAAACTAAAGAACATACACTGTCATAACCAAAGACGAGGGCGAGAAATCAGGGCCCAGATTTTCATTGGGCAGATACAGTTAACCAGCGGATAAATCGCTATACAACGGAGGAGTGTTAACAAAACGTACTATGCCATTCACCGGATGGAGATTTATCCAGCGGTTAGCGTTTTCCACCCTTTGAGCCACCAGGGTCAGATGGATTAAATAATACAAAGGCAAATCCTATGAGGATACTCCATGCTGATTTATGAAACATCGCTCATGTCATTTTTTCCATTTTCTTGGTGACTTATAGGTGATAAGAAATCCATGAACGGCAGCAACTAGAGTACTGCAACTTGCAAAACTGAGCCCACGATGTGGTTCACTCGACTATAGCATTGCTAGGCAACGCAAATCCCGTAATAGTTTCCGACTTGTCCATAGGGACCTGAACGCGTTTCGATTGCAGTACAGACAACAAGCGGTCTTTAGGTGTTTTCACTGTTCTCCATGGCTAAGTTCATTTGTTTAAAGAAGGTTTTTCTAGTCATAAATAAAGTTTAATCAGCTCATCGCTGACAGCAGAAGGCGTTAGAACTCCAAGATCTGTGAACAGCAGGGTGATGTAAGATGGCGGAGTATAGTCAACTATTGGATGACTATCCTCACTGGAAGAACTTCCTGAGTACTAAAGCAACAAAACCAAGCACATCAATAAAAGGGTGACACACGAGGACAATCCAGGGGGTGTTACATCAAAAAATGTCCCTTGAAACTTGTCCAACAACGGTGCCACAGAATTTCGAGAAAAACTGAGAAAACAACCCAACCCAACCCAACCCAACCCAACCCAACCCAACCCATTTCTACCACACAGCGAATGGATCCCCCATGCTCGCTCTTTTTGCACGCAGGTGCTTTCTCTCTTTTTGGTCGAAACCATCTTTTTTATGACAGACTTTATTGGAACGCTTGTGTCTATTCACGCTTACCAAGCTTGTGAGTCTACTTGCCTTTACATATCGTATTTCCGCGAACAAGTGGCCAAGCTCTAATGAGCCCCCTCCCCTGAGTAAGTCCCCATCCCCTGGGTCACAATGCCAAACAAGCGTCCCTCTCCAATAACCGCCCCCTCCGCCTTCACTTTCAAAGTCTAACAGATCAAGAGAAATGCAACCATCTGCGTATGCCTAACGAGGATGTAAAGTGTTTAATGGGACTTCTATACGCTTGGTTACCGACTACTGCCTTAACAAACGAAATACATTAATATTGAATTTCCGTCTACATGGGTAGTGTCGTTGATTTGTTTTCTATTAAAGATTCTATGGCTAAAATAAAGCTACAATTCGTCAAAGGAAAAGCTAATAAAGTCCCCCCCACCCCCTCAATTAAGCTCCCTCCTTTAGTTAAGGGCATTCTTTTGAGCCTCAATCAGAAATAAATGCCTTGGCGTTTATGCGAGGAAATACGGTAAGTACCAACGATCGTCCTTTAGCCTCCCCAGAAGTTTAAATAAGAAAAATTCAAGAGTAGAAACATTTTTTTCTCACACATCACTCAGAGAGGGTCCACAATAATAAATGTCAAAGTACTCTAAAAGAAAGTACTCACCTTAAAGTGGTTCGGTACGTCTTCTTGATTAAGTGGATAAAGTCGAACGAACTTGAAACTTTCTGCCACCACATAGAATGGTTTGTTGACCGCTTTGGTCATAACTGCCATCTGATATGTGCCAACCTGTGAATACAAACTTGCTCATTTAATACGTTACGAACATCAGCAAGTAAATAAAAATCGCGAGCGAATAACTACAAGAGCGGAACGGGCGACCGACGAAACGAATAAACGAACGAAGATCGATTAATCAATAATGAACATTACGGTGTGTATACGTGAGTGCATGTAAGCTTATACTGACACACGACAGAACGTATGCGGTCAGATTTCGGTAATGTCGTACCAATCAAATGCATGCTGAAGACTTCAAGACATCGCCACACACGGATTTCACTGAACAATTCTTTTAAATCTAATGTTCACTGATCACTTAACTTATCTCAGTTTGTGAGAAAGAGGGAAAATCTGAACTGATGTCATCATGTAAACAACTGCACACCACCCCTCCCCTCCCCTCACGCAACATTGAGTCTGACTTGCTATCAGTTGAGTGTTGTTGGAAACTCTCATCATTCACTTACTGTAGCAACTCAATACTCACTTTATTAATAATTCCACCACTCTCTACCACACCTTCTGCGCCCATAAGGACCAAGTCAACTTTTTCCATCATGTAACTTAAAATCAGACCAAATAAACATGTTGTACATTAGAATAACAAATAAGAATTCACTAAGGGAATGAAACATGCTGATAAGACAATAAATGGAAAATACATCATAAATGGAGTGTTGACCTACAGTGAACTTGATCAGGAGGGTGGGGAGGTGTACAGCCTTATGTGAGCTACATTAACTTATAATTCATGGGGTCTTCTTTGTTGTGGGGGGGGGGGGTACATTTTCCTGCATCCTCCTCAGCTGTATGGTGAAGCTATTACAATAGTCTAAAACCACTGTTGCCAGTCTAAAGCAGCATTTAACATATATGATATAAATATTGATTTTGAAGTTTATATCTGGATACCAACAGAGCAAATGTTCCAAAAAAATAAACCAGCACTCAAGGAAAAAAACACAATAGTATAAACTAGCAGATTTCTAGGTAAGTTTGTGTTCTACATTAATTGAAGCAAATCAGCTGCTTTCAAACTCCCGATGAAAAAAGAAAAGATTGTTAAAAACTTAACGTCACCCAGAACATACAAGCAGACCCTCTGTGCAGACATGAGATGGCAATGTTCTGGAAAAGGTTTATAGTCAAAACACCTTGGCTACAATGATCATATTAGCAACACTCACCCAACTGCTGCATCTAGGATCACTGTGGAGGGAATTCCAAACTGTTTTAACTGATCATGCATCTCATATCTGAGAGACAATAATTTACTTAAAGTAAATAGAAGATACATGAACAAAACCAAAAACAGGGAAACCAATTTTTAGCATAAGAATACTAAAAGGATATCCACATCAGTTATGTATTGAACACATCTCTTTTATCAGTTCCTTTATCCTTCACCAGTCCAGGCATTAAGAAGTGACTGCTATAAAACCTCCATAATCCCCACTAAAATCAAAACACATACAGGCCCATTTAAGGGCAAAGGGTAATGTCTGTACTTGAGACAAGTAGCAATCAACCCAGTTTCCATAGCTGAAGCAATTAGGAGTATCACTACTCCCTCTGGATGGGATACTGGTCCATTGCAAGGTTACACCCCAGCATTTCATCAGGCTTCCCTGACAATTCACCAATACCCATTTATTCCCCTGGGTTAAGAGAGACACTGTGATAGAAAAAAAGGAACACAACACAACACATTGACCTGGCCGCAACCCAGACCTCTCAACCCCAAGTCCAGTGTTCTAACCAATAGGCCACTACATCATCCACAGGTCCCCCCTGGGGAGCTATCTAATTTTATTTGGCTTCCAGACAAGGGCCTTCAACAATATTAAATGACCGCCAAAATACAAGTCAATATTTTCATTCTGAATTTTTTGTTCAAAATGGAAACTACAGTTAACTGTAATACATGTTTTAAAGTGCAATGTTCATCACAGAGACTCTGATCTCAACAAGGCTAATGCCTGTTACTACTATACTAAGTTCTTCCATTTTTGGCCACTTAAGCTCTATAGCAATTTTCAGGTATTTTATATAATAAAAATAATTTCAAACTACACTGTACCCAGATTTATCAGGAGCTGACTCTGTTACATAAACATTAAAGCGCTTCTTCTGTTCAGTAGCCACTTTCAAAATTTCCAACACAACTCTGGATCGGGAGTGAGTAAGAATTGTCTGAAAAAAGTTAAAGATGACGCAGTCGCACACTCTGAATAAAATCACTGAAAAGAAAACCAACTTTACCGTTTGGAGCCTCAGTGAAGAGTGGAGACATTGAATCAGTAACTTTCTGACCTGGCTGAAAGTTATGCATCTCAGAAAAAATATGATAGATAGCAAAAATAATCCAAATGTTGTTTTGTTATTGTCAACAGAAATTAATACAACGTGATGCTTACAGCTCCATCTTTAATAAATGCATCACAAAGTTTGGCAATTCTATTCCTGGCTGAGGCAGCTCTTTTCAGGTACAGCTGACCTGGTTAGAAGAAAAAAAATCAAACTAATCCACACTGTGGTAAATGATGCAAATGCATTGTTAAGTTAAAAAAAAAAAACATTGAAGACCTGGGAAGGAATATCCCTTCTTATTTATGAGACATCACCTCTTTCAACCAGAACTCTTTTACATTCTTGAAAATCCTTATGAGGGAAAAAAAAAGAGAACAAAATCACCAAAGTATAAGGACACTCTAAAAAGAGGAATTTTTTTCCCATAAAACACAAGAAAGCAGGAGTTTTCGAAGTACAATATTGCAACATTCTCACCATTTTAAATTTATAACTATATGAAAAAAAGATGGTTTGAAAAAATATTGCATCCATAAATAGACCAGTTCATCACTTTTCAAGGTTCCAGTTTTTTACTATTGCCATAACCCTTCCTTCCTACACGGCAAACTGGCATTTTTTGTCAGATTTTCCTGACTATTTGTTTTTCCAAGCCCCCACTAAATTCTCCAATACAAATTCTGATGTACCAACATTCACTCAATCATCCTGTCATATCACCCCTCCTAGTAGACAGTGTCACTAACAAAGAAAAATCACTGACTGATTTAGGAGAAATCTCCAATCGCAGAACAAGCTGCCATTAAAATTAATGAAAATGTCTTGTATCAGGTAGATTTCTTTGAGAAGCTGGGAAACAATAGCTGTAAACAAATAAAAGCAAAAGTGATGCCTGTATTTCCTGGAAGGTGTCATTTTAAGTTGTATGATTATCATAGTAAACAGTTGTCACTGTGATCATCAGACAGTAGCTCTTCAGTTTGCATGGGTTCCCATAGGTTCATGCAGATACCAGTGGCAACCATAACATATCATACATTCAACAAGGTGACACACAGAGAATTTCAGTTTGAAAACAGGTGATAACTGTTTTAGTTTTTTCTTGCACTAAATATTTCATGATTCTTATTTCTGACAACAATTTTTAACAAACTATTAAGGTTACTGTTAATTTTTTTATGGTAACTTGTTCTACCAGTAAAGGTGGGCTTAGGGTAATAATCACTAGCAAAACCTTAATCAAGTGAAGGAAGTAAAACTTACTGGGTTGTCCAGGGAGGCAAGTGTTATAAATCTGAGGAAGAGTTCACATCCTGAGGATATGGAAGCTACTGAGCCTTCTGTTTTGGTCAAAACATCAATGACTTGTTGAAGATTATCTCTGAGTTCAGAGAGTGTTTCAGCTGGAATGGAATAAAATAAAGTGATCTTGCAAAAAAACAAACATGCTCATGTCTAGCAAGGCCTTATGGAAATGGAATTCTTTGTTAAATTTTGGAAGTTATGCAGAGTGCTCAGTACAGAGTCAGAATCCCACTCCTTGAGTGGGGTGAGCAAACAAATGCTTAGGGTACAGGACATACTTACAGGCTGCTTTAAACTGTTTTCTTTGATATAAAGAAGAGGAAATAAGATTTTAATAATATTATCAACCTTTTGAAGAAGCACTTCACCAGGATACTGAAGACTGGTGAGTTGAAAAAAGTTGTTACCCAACAGCACATACTTGGGTGATACAAAAAATTGAATTTACAGTGGTGAAGTAATAACTTGTGATTCAGTAGTCTTAGAAATGTGGCCCTAAGAAAATATAATCCACAAAGTCTACAATAGCATAAAGTTGTTATTTATCCCAGTAGGTTAGTGGCAAGACTGTTGGCTGTGCACAAAGTAATCACAACATTGATCTCAGAGCTACCAAGAACCAATCCAGTAAGTAACATGATAGAGAAATGGAAGCCAGGATATATTAAAGTTTACATGGCAACCAGGCCACACTCAGACATGGTTTGATGCTACTCTGGTTTACAGATTTAATGAATGTAATGGAAAAAGTTACAATTCATCGACCCAACGTTTCAATACTCCTGTCTAGTGCCTTCATCAGGGGTGATCTAAACACTGCAACAAGAGGTCCTTTTATACAATCACCAATTAGCTGCCTTTTTTCTGACAAGGTTTTGTTTGGAAGCTTGACATATTAACTCTGCCCATGCTCCTTTAAATCGTGATGATGGTGGCTTACTTCCTGACGCCTATTTACACCTTGTCAGAAAAAAGGCAGCTAATTAGTGATTATATAGGAGGACCTCTTATTGCAGCGTTTAGATCACCCCTGATGAAGTCATTAGACAGGAGTGTCGAAACGTTGGGTCTATGAATTGTAACTTTTTCAGTTACATTCATTAAATTTGTAAACAAGAGTAGCATCAAACCATGTCTGGAAGCCAGGAGTTCCCTCACGCACCCTCACATAACCACCCTGTCATATTGTCTCCACAGGAATTACTTATGTATCCCTTTGACTCCTAAGTTTTAAGAGAAAATTCTCCCAGCTGATTGCCATATCTCCTGAATATCATCCTCAGACCAATAACCTTATCTGATCGTACATGTACATCTTATATGTGCAAACGAACATATTGGAATTACAAAGAGAAATTGCACGTTGATAACTTCTGAGACAAAGAGGAATAAATAACATTTCGGGGAAGCCCTTCCCCGCATATTCCCACTCTCATTCCCTTCCTCAATTGAAGAGTCACAATTATTAAACAGCATGGTAAAATTGAAAAGTCTTACCCGAGTTTTGATTCATAACTTCTAACAGAGTTTGTATAGCAGCTACAGCCGTCGACATGCCTGGGTCGTCCACCATACATTTTTTGAAGAACGCTACAGCCTCTGTGATTTAAAACCAAATTGGTATTATGAATTACAATCAAGTTAGAACTGTGGAAAATTTTAGTCAGTAAGCTTGACTGTACCTTCGTTGTCCATCTTTCTCTTCGATACATGCTTCATGTATGCGATACATAGTGCATTGCGAGTGTCTTTTCAAAAGTAGCGCCGCTGGTCAGTAGATAGCTCACTAATTAACAAATACATAGCAAAATGTTTTCATAAATACTTTATTTTAAAAACGATAATAGCGATAATAATAATAATAATATTATGAACAATAGTAATAATATTAATATTATTGATAATGGACGAAATTTTTATGTGATTCGGCACCTTTATTAAAGCTTTGGTTTGCTACTAGTGATACATATTTCAGCTTTAGCAAAATCTCGTACAAAGACCTTCCACGCCCAAGCATTTCAGTTACAGGTAACGGTTGAATCTGGGTACGCGATTAGCTGTAGCCTAGCCATTATCCATAGACCCCTTTCTCTTGCCGAGATTTAATTGTGTATCATGGCTAAAACCGCGGAAAAAATCAATAAATGTAAAGCGTTCTACGATATACATAGTGTGCATGGGAAAGAGTCCACGTCCTCTTCCATGCTGCATGTATTTGTCTATCTCTCAATAAAAATCTCGAAAATTGATAAAATTTCAGCTAGATTTGGGTGTGGTTGAGATTTTCAGGGGCCCTGAGGCTTTACACATGGTCAAGTTCAGAGATCATAAAATTAATGTCGTTCCAGAGGCCCTTTTCTAATTACCCTAAGAAGATGGAATCAAACATTCTCATGGCAGTTGCTTGCAGATGAGTGACTGTCTAGGGAGCTCGAAAATGCTCTTCACATGTTGATGAAGAGTTCTAACCAAGAGAAAAAACGTCTCCGATTTAAAAATATATCTATATCTATAAGACCTTACTAAATTTACTTGATAGCACCATATATGTGTTTCTATGTAGCTGACGGCATGCATTTTGCTATGGTTGGTGAAAAAGAAATTGAAATTTTCGTACCTAATGTAGATCAGATTTATTTCTGGGGTTGAGGCGCATTTGATCGTTTTTAATCCCATCAAACGCATTGAATTTTTATGAGTAGTCGAGAAAAACTCTTTGCAAATGATGCAGTTTTCTAATATCTGCTTTGTGTTTCGTTCCAAGATTTAATAAGCCACAAGTTACATAAAATTATCACTTTGCCGATAACAACATCATTGTTCTCCTTTATCAAAGACTAAAAGCCGATACATTAAAAAAAAAGCTAGTATAGAGGATATGAATGAGATACACTACAGCTCGATAATCAGCTGAATTTCCTGTCAAATCCCGATTATCAGCGGATATATTAGCTGAATCTCAGCAGTAAATCTAACTCCCATTCATCTACTGCCTCAGGCACTCACTAACTATGTGATGATCTAAACAACCGTGTCGTATTTCTCCTTATAAGGCGGTGTTTCTGTCGTAATTGGGCTGTCATCGTCTCCTTCTTTCTCGTCCATCAAACCAATGTTTCCATCTTCCATCCTTAAGCTATGATGCTTGCAGCAGTATATCTTGTAGTCCTCTTTCCAGGCCTCCACTTGTTCCACCGTCTGAGCCATGGGACAGTAACGTGTCTCTGGCAGCCAAAGAGCCATCACGCCCGCGATAACTCCAAAAACACCAAATATGACCAACGGAAGAGTCTTGCTCATGTTCGGAAGATCCGCCTGATTAAAGAGAAACAAATTAATCAATTCGGAGTATAATCGATATTCCTTCGTTCTCTCGGCAGTTTGTGCGTCATTTATGGTGCGTTGGTTCGACCTTTATTTCGCATTCGTTCGTCATTTCTTTCGCACTTTTTATTCGTTCGATTATTTTTTCGCCGTACAGCGAGAGTCTGTCACTGAGAAATGAATAAAACATCAAAGAAAAGTTATTGTTATGAAGTTCTTATCTTATCGGCTACATTACGCTGTTATACCCAAGGATTAGTTCCAACACAAATATATTACACACAAAACGCTGCGAATTCGTCTGTTGGTAGGTAATTGGTAACTACCATTGACAATGGAATACAAATACGAACCAGTAACACGATGTAAGGTGTTAAAATGCTGCCAACGCGAGCCATCATTGAACACACTCCAATGCCAGTGTTCCTGAAATGGAGAAAAATGATTATTATTAAACATCTTCCTTTTACCTCTCCCTAACATTTGCTTGGTTTTTTGCACAAAGATAAGTTTGTAAAATCGAATTTCTGTTTGCACCATCATCGCCACTCATACCAACCTGATAATTGTGGGATAGAGTTCCACAGTGTAAATATAAATTCCAAGGAAAGTCGCCAAGATGCAAGCTTTACCAATAACAGCTAAGATTGTAATAACAACTTTATACTCTGGGGAGAAAAAATATCGATTTAAGATACGATTCCAGACAACCATATAAAAAACATTTTCCAGTCATTTTTGATCCATTCATTAAGAGCCAAAAATAAAGCTACTCCCCCCTCATGAGATGGTAGCTCACTGCAACTTCTCTCTCCCAGCCCCCTTTCGAGATATTATTTGAGTTCCGCCAGGCAAATCGCCAGTGCTGTTTTATACTTTAGGGCAGAGAGGGAGACTATCAGTGTTAAATCTGAATCCCTAAATCCCGAGTCCAGCGTGCAGCCTAAACCCTTCAGGCCACTGGGTAGGTCATGTAAGCTTTCATAAAACATCCCATCGTTCACTCCGCATAAATGCAACGTATAGTTTTGTAACAATATGAGTAGTTTCTGTTTGAAATCAGCACCACTTGAAAACTTAACTTACCATCACCAGATGGAACGGCCAGCACCAACATTTCTGCAGCGCCTCCAATGATCATGAACGAGGCGTAAGGAATACGCCGGCCAAATCTTAAAAGGATGAAGAATGTCACAGATATTCAATTATTGTAAATGGCTTGCCAATTGTTGATCACCATAAAGCATCTGACTAAGATCTACTAACTTAGCTTCCAATAGTGAGGAAATCAGCCAGAAGTTTTACTAGTACCGTGTTTCAAAAGTGATAGTAACGAAAACTCAGAAACTGCTCTTACTGGTTTGTTAACAAGAGGATTACCGTGCATAGAAAAACCACAGTGCTAATGCTCCAGGAATTTCCACGATGCAGAGGAAAAAAAAGTTCAGGTACATGTTTCCCGCCAGATTCCCGACATTCAAACTGATCCCAAAGTAAACTAAAGCGTTCACAAACCTACAAAAAAAAGATTGTCACTGAAGTTGTGAGGACACTTTCGTTATTGTGCCTAAACCGTTATATGAAATATGTGACTTGTGTATCATAGAGAGTCTCATGAGAGCGATCCAAGAATTCCCCATCCCTTTTCTTCAGGAGTGTTGTGCTTTTCCGTGATTCTTATTCAGGGAGGGAAGTACTGGTGTCTAAAGGCTTTAAACTGTATTCAGTTTCAACTGCTACGTCGTAAAAGTCTCAAGCGATTTTTTTTTTCAAGATCTATTAATCACGTGAACTGTCATAGTGAGGGGCCGGTAAATATTCATCGACTGGAAGGGGAGGGTTGTGACAGAATAAAATATAGCAGATCACCCGGTTCCCCTAAGGCTCTGCAGTATTCCATGACCCTCCCCCCCTCCCTCATTGGCAGTTAATTTTCTATAATCCCCCTTTATACTCTTTTAGTGAAGACTGACACTCCCCCCCCCTTCGCTCCCCTTGATAACCATACGATCCCCCAAAATATTCCGGGACCCTCCCTCAGCCCCAAGCGATAAAGAATGAGTAGCCTCTCCTCCCCCCCCCCCCCTCCAAGGTGAAAGGGAGGCAAGGGAATACGATTAGAGTCAGGTTTGCGTAGACGTTCCCTCGCCTCCGTTTCACCTTGGGGGGGGGGAGGGGAGGGTACGGCTACACGTAGGCTAAAGAATAACTGACCTTTAAGCTGTCTCAGCTCGTGAAATGCAAGGCAATATATCTCATTGCAATTATCAACATCGTTCAAACGAAACTCACCAATTAAATCCACAGATTATGGTTCTCTTCCTCAGCTTTGGTGTTCTAACCATGTCCAGGATTCCGTAGGTCTTCTTGCTCTCACTCCTGTTTCTTTCTTCTTCCTTCTTAAATTCTTGTATGACATGTTTGAGTTGGGTGGATTCAACAGTGACACGATTCCTCTTGGCATACTTCATGAGCAGCTCGTGAGCCTCGTCAAGGCGATCTTTGGCAATTAACCACCGGGGAGACTCTGGGATCATCCTCCGAACAAAATTGACGAAACAGATTTAATAACTAGATTATCAGCTCGAGATTTCTATCGCGTGATTGTAGATGAGTGTGTGGCCCGAATCAATTACTGTATCACGCATAGAAATCGAGATTAAGTCCAAAAAAGTTTTTTTTTGTTTTGCAGCCGCACCTTTTTGGGCTTCTCTGTCCATTTTCTATCTATCACAGAACAGAGGCGATTAGCAAAGCTAATCAGATTGGCTTATAGCATTAACGGTCATGGAACGTTTGTAGATTTCATCTGACTGAAGTGGAGGTAACTTGAACGTTCAAACTAATGACCCTTAACATCAACATGTAACTGATTGCGAAGACTAGACCAAAGGGCGAATGTAGGAATGACGCTTTTGCAATCGGGATGACTAATTCCACTACTGTTATAATTCGAATTGGTAAAAAACGAAAGTCAGTCCAAAATCTTCAACAAACACTAAGTCAGGTACATCGCGAAGAACATTAAAATTTTTCTTACCAGTAACAGAGCAGTAATGGTGCTGCAGGCAGAGAGACAATCAGCATTAGATGTCTCCAGTCACGAATTAAGTAACCAAGCAGAGAAAGCGTAGAAAAACCAATGCTAACGAAAATATTATTCACCATTCCTGCTGCGGTGCGATTGTTTATGTGGATGATCTCCATACAGTAGACAAACCGAACGAGAAGACAGCCTGCTGTGGCCGCTCCAGCTCCAAACCGAAACAAGGCGAACAAGGAAAGACAGTCGGAGACAGCAGATACTGTTCCACATGCAGCCTGAAGGACAACTTCCTGGTTAGACTTAATTGGAACGAGCTAAGACTAAATTTCATTTGACTACTCGCTAAGTAAATGAGTCCAGGCAAGAAGTAGTGACCCAAAGGTTACCGTGCTGGGTTGTAGGCCGAGAGGCCCGGGTTCGAGTGTTGCGTTGTGCTCTTGGGTAAGACATTTCATAGTCACAGTTCCTCTCTCCATCCGGAAGCATGAAGGGGTACCAGTAAACCGAGGGTCTTTTGGGGTTAACCGTTAGCTGTAAAACTGCCAAAACATTTATCCCTTAGGCGTAAAATTTGCCAAATTTGAACGGTTAGTCGTAAACTAAAAATTAACCGTAAACCTCTGTTCTCGTGACCACAGTGGAAAGATATTTACCGTGAGCGTAAATTGGCCAAAACATTTTAACCGTTAACCGAAAAAGCCATCACCACATTGACACCCTCCAAACTATCAGGCAAGCCCGACAGACTGCTGGGGTGGGGTGGGGTAGCCTGTGACAGAGGAGCATCCCATCCATGGGGTGGGTAGCAATACTCTTCTTAATCACGCCATGCTGCGGAAACCGGGATAAGCTCCGCATTAATGGCACGTGGCTTGAAGAAGACTTAACCGTTAAGTTATATGCGTTCCACTTCCGTAAAATCTCACTTTACTCACCATGAGAAAAATACTGAGGAAGACGCTGATTTTACGGCCAAAGTGGTCGGACAGGCTACTAAAGGCAACAGAACCCACCAACAGACCTGCCATGTAAACTGACTGTGTCATGGCCTTGAGAGGACGTCTGTCACATATCAGGTTCCACTGTAACAAGATGAATCAGGAAAAAAAGAGAGAAAAAAATACAGAACCCATTAACCACTCGAATGAGAAACGCTTCAGTCTAAGAGGAGTTTATTTGAGCATCCCTGTAATAATCCAAAATGACGCTAGTAAAAAAAATTAAAACCCATGAAGCAACCACAGACAGACCATTGTATGTGTTTGTGGTTAATAATTGTTTACATGGGACTAACATAATCTCTGACAGTTATTTATGAAGCTCTGAAAATTGCATATCTAAATTTATATTACATCTCGGTCTGAATATCTCAATAAGGTTAAATGAAATGTTACTCGACGCGTTTGTGATAGTTTTTAGCCCTCATAGGCCGTTTACGAAATTACTTTTGGCCAGAGGCATCATTTCAGCATCGATTTTCTCGGAAAATGTCGAAGGGATGAATCTCAAATTTGCCGAAGAGATGGAGTAAGATCTCATCGATAAACAAACGTTGCCAGTTTGGAGAGATTTTTAGTAGTTTGGCGTTAATTCCAGTTTGAAAAGGAGGTGGTCACGGCTGGCGAGCACCAAATTGCGGCATTGTCTCCCTTTCCTCTCTAACGGCCTCAGGCCAAAGGCTGACCGCGGAAAAGCGATTGCGTGACGCTCGGTAAGCTGTAAGATGACATGTTATTATATACCAGACGTAAAAACTCTTCAGATTCTCAGTCTGCATTTTGTATCCACTCTGCAGTCTATATTTTGTATCTGGTCAGCAGTCTGCTGCCTACATTTTGTACTAACAGGTATCCGTGGCACCAATACAGTTTATTTTTGGTTACATTTATTCGCACAACGCACATAATCTACCACAAAATACCTGTGCGTGAGGTAATTCGACATTTTCATTCTTTCCCGCGTTAATTGCGGCATTGTGCCTATGTTTTGAAATAGGTGTATGCTTTGAGCTCACTATTCCTCTCTAACGGCCTCAGGCCAAAAGTAATTTCGTAAAAAGACGCTTCAAACGGCTAATGAGGACGAAAAAATGCGACAGATGAGTTGATTAACATTTTGTTTAACTTTATTGAGATATTCAGACCGAGATGTAATATAGATATGCAATTTTCAGAGCTTTATTCATAACCCTCAGCGATTTTGTTCGTCTCATGTCAACAATTGTTAACCACGAACACATAGAGTCGTCTGCCTGTGAAGCAATAAGTTAGGACTCGACAATATTCAAATGCAGATAACATCTTAATTACAGAAGGACGGAAAGATCAACGTCTAGAAATTGTAGATTTTTCTCCTAATCGTTTCCGCAGGATAGCACCGCCCGTTATCACGGAATAAAGGTTTCTTTTTCGGTCTTTGTTTTGCTACTAATTTAAAAATTCATGCAAATTACGTAATGGGCTGTTCAATTGGTATTGATGAATAACAAATCCTTGCAATGCAAACTGTAAAGAGGACTTGTCGATAAACAGAGACCTCAATGGGTCCATGGGAGTCCGAAAAGTGATAATGACTGAAGAAAGTGATGAAATTGTCTAGCAGCAAGCCTCTAGGAAAAATTGAAAAAGGAAAATTTACTTTTCTAGGTCATTGCTTATTATTCACACAAGATTTTCTATTTATGGAGGAACAATTCATTTTTCTAAATAATTATTACCTCTGTCACAGCACTCGTCAGCCCTGCCTGAAACTCATATTTTTCGCAGTTGTTGCAGCATTCCGAACATGTATTGTTGCTCGGCGACGAATACGAAACACAGGAGTATTTCGGAGTTGCTGCGTAGAAGACTTGTACAAGTTGCTGGAGGCCGATTGGCACAGACATGATGCACATGAAAGCATATAGCGCTAAGCTGTAACGGCCAAATCCGCCAACCATGTCTAAAATATCGTCAAACTCGCATGATTTCTTTGATTTTGATCTTTCCATCTTTGAATTCACATTCGGACCAGACATAATGTCATCGAAAGCTTTTGGACGACAAGAAGAAACTCTCGAATCTTTCACAACTTGGAAAGCAGTTTAGACAAGATCCAGTTTGTTTTCGTGTAAACAACGTCAAACCGCTTATAAATATGCATTGTACGTGAGATATGCAGATGAAAGATGACCTCACCTTTGACAGAATATTCAGTTACAAGAAAAAAACTAAAGTTAAATCTTAAGTTTTTGTGACTCAGCCAAAGGAAATAACGTATGAGTGACAGCTTATAACCACTCCTTTGCATTGCGTGGTATACGAGAAGATATTTCCCAAACGTTCCTAGCCCGAAAGATTGTCTAAGATAAAAGAGAAGCGAAACTTTGCTATTAAATTTCAATAAATTCTTCATATTCTGAATATATCTGGGAATTCATGCGCCCTTTCTACCTGGGGTGAGTATTTCCTGCATTTAGTGTTCAGTCACAGACCCTCGATAAACGTCGGGAAAAAAATCAAAGAAAGAAATAAATGAATAAATGAACGAAAGAATCAACGCGAATCACGCCAAAGAACCGAACGAAGACGCGCACGGACTGACGAAAGAACGAAGGGGTATATTATTATTTATTTTCCAGATGGATTCATTCAGACGGATCTTCCAAGCATGAACAAGTTCTTGCCCCTGGTCATGTTTGGTGATTGTTTTCGTTTACTTATCGCGTGATGGCTCTTGGCTGGCAGAGACACGTTGTCGAAAACGTGAAAGAGCTGTATCACGCTTCCTTATTAACTCACGATTTATTCACATGATTTGACGATTTTATTACAACGTTTCGGTTAACTCCTACTCACAACTCTCGGCTTATTCGAAAGGAAACACACACTCAACGTCCCGTTGTAAGCACGTGGAACAGTGCCATATACGGGGCGATAAAACACGTGCCGCATACATGTCGTTTGGTTATGTATAGATAAACGAAACCACTTTTTAATGTCAATTAAATAGGAATAATTAACGTATTGTACAGTTTTCAACAACGTCACAGTCCTATGACTTAGACAATGGAACCAGCGAAGGACTGGAAAGAGGGCTACAAAATATACTTGGGGGGGTGGGGGGGGGGCGGCGAGCCGTTTGCAAGAGGAAAGAACAGTGTAATGCTATGATTCAGTATAATTATATAGCATGCTATGTTTCGTTATAGATTTTTAAAAACCTCGTAATCATCCTTAGAACGTACAACACAGCACAGCACAACGCAAATCTGAACGATTTCGTCCTAGCCACCATGATATATTAAAATTCAGGGTGTGCGGTAAGGTTAAGACCGACAAATGCACCTCAACTCCAGATATAAATCTGATTTATTCTTACTTCAGCATATTTCAATTTGCTTTCATTAACCGTTACAAGTGCATATTTCTAGCTAACTATTACAGATTCAAAAGACACGTGGTGCAATAAATGCAGTTAGGCCCAGGAGCCCATTGGTGTATTGTAATGGGCTCTGTTAGGCCTTATTCCAAAATATAAGGATATATTTCTTAGAGGGGATACCTTTTCTCCTTGTTAAAATATTGTTGGGATATATGCGATTAAATTTCAAAGGACTAACTAAGAAAATTCTGATATGTAGTTATAACTACATTGAAATTGCTAACTACTTGCTTTTACTTCTAATTTACGGCACCATTCGTGATGCTTCATGGCAGTTGTTTTGGTATTAACGACAACCGTTGAATACTTCATTCCAACAACACCTCCATTTTACGCTTTAGATGTTTTCCTGGTCATTTTCGTTGTCCATTGGAACCTTCAAGGGTGCTGAGCTAGCCTCGTTATCAGGCCCTTCAGAGCTGAAAGATAAGAAAAAGGTTTGCTTGTAAAATGTTAAATAGTCCGCATGATGAACGTAAATTGTCATCCCGAAATTTGAATTTCGATCATCGTAGGCTTTGTTTAAATTCCCTTAAAAAATTGACATTTAAACAAGCTTGATTACGATGTGTTGCTCTCTTGCATCGAAATTTTTTTGGGGAGAAGGGAGGGGGATGGGAATGCAAACCTCGACGATTTTCCTTTTCCACAAACCGCATAAGGCAACTCGTTCCTTCATTCATCTGCTGACCACGAGGTGCGTATGGGAGAATATTGAACAGGCTCTTTCTGGAAATACTCTTGAGAACTGAAAAACTTCATACTTCTGAGAAACCTTAACCACGCCTCACTTTGAATCTGACAGTTTTTAAGAACTGTAAAGGAGATGGATAAATACCTGCAGCAAGGACAAGGAAGAGGACATGGACGAGGTTTCCCCATGCACACCATACCGTAGAACTCTTTATCTTTTTCGATTTCTTCCACGGTTTGAGCCATGTTGCACATCAAAGTCTCGGGAAGAAGCAGTGACAGGAGGCCGGCGGCTACAGTCAGCGAGCCAAAAATGACCATGGGAAGGGTAGCGCTCAATCCTGGCAACTGTGCCTGGGATTTTAAAGATGAATTTGTTCGTTATTATTTTAGTAAATGTGCTATGAAATATCGCTAGAGAGTAAAGATATCCTTTTTCAACCATTTAATGCCGTTCTACTGAAAGTTATCCAAAATCCTGAGAAGGAATGAAAAGATTAGTTTCCAAAGAAACTGTCGTGCTTGGAAAGAATTACCCAACTTTACTACCAATCATGTAAATGAAGCTAACCTTTAATTAAGAATTCTGTATAAGATTGGAATTGAGTCATGGAAACCTACCAGCATTACAATGTAAGGTGCAATAATGGATCCCACACGAGCACTAGTGGAACATACACCAATTCCTTGGTTCCTGTTGATGGGACACAAAAATGGCTCATAATCAGGACACGCTTAGAATTAGAAGCAGGCTAACCCGCAACTCTCAGCGGTAAGGGACTAAAAGAATACTTTACTTCCCAGCTAAAACTGTTCTCATGGCTCTTACCTCAGTATGGTGGGATAGAGTTCAGTCGAAAACAGGTAAATGTTGGAGAATGATCCACTTGCCATGAAACGACCGATGAACGCCAAAGCTGTTACAGCACCTTTCTGTTCTAAAAAAAATATTGAACGCTTTTCTTTTAAAAAAAGGTTAATAATTGTCGGGAGTACCAAAATATTACACTTGTTATGAAGGTCTGTGAAGTGGCTAAAATGACAAAGAATCGTTCAGTGAAAAATTGTGCTTGGATGGAGCATTCGAACGCAATTTTCGCCCGGGGGGGATGCGGAGTATGAATTTGAACGACTCAATTTTCAAAATTTCAAATGCCGGGGGGTTGCCTGGGGGGAGATGTTGAAGCTTCGAATTGATCGACGCATAAATCGGCCTTTAAGTCTTAAGTAGCGAGGTTTAAACTGTGTTTAGTTACCTTCAGGAACAGCCAGGACAAAAAGGCAGAATAAACCTCCAGTCACCATTATCGCCGAGTGAGGAACGCGGCGTCCAAATCTATTAATAGCAAGGAAACAAAATAAGACGATCAATTCAAAGTGGCCTGATATATATTTCAATCTGTTTTTTAGGTTTATTCCAAGAAGATTCTTTATGAAGAAGTTTGTCCCTGTTTTCCGAGTTGTTAGTTCAAGTGCTCTACCCATACCAAGTGAAAGTTGACAAGAGATCATATTCAAGATATGTACTAAGCGGCGAAGGCACCTTAGAGACTACAATTCGACGAATTGATCAACTTAAAACAATCTAAATCGACTTAGAGAATAAAACGATATGGTTAACTTTATCATCAGATCTGATAACACGATCATTTCGGACAGAATGCAGTTGATTCGCACAGCCAACGTAAAAATCGCGATCACAATTGACCAATTAGTTTCAATTTCTTGAAAAATCTTGCTACACTTGTTGGTAACAATAACAAAAATTCATTAACACAGAGTTCGGGTCAAAGTATTAGAGGCTTACTTCTGCACGATCACCCAGTTGATAAGGTGTGTTGGCACGTCTGAGAGGTACATAAGGAACAAGTTCAGATATGGACTACCGGCCAAACGAGTGACGTACAGCAAGAATCCATAGTACACCATGCTTATAACCATCCTGGATAAAGCAGCACCAAAAGGTTTAAATGTTTTTTTTTTCGAAAGTATCTCCACGGATCGAAATCTTAAGTCTTCGAATAGGATTAGCTTATCAATCACGATACGGACAACCATCCAGACTTTTTTTCGCGCCAGCAGAAAAATGAAAGTCGCTCCGTGCGAGAGCGACAAACTTATCCATTATCCTCCCAACTACATAAGGGGGTTATTAGGCCGGTGAACCGATAGGAAATACAGTCTACTGCTTACAATTGAATCTGCTCGTGGTTAGTTGAAATTTTCTCTCAATGTCGAATTTGCGTCAGGTAAAATACTTCGCGATGCCCAATTTTTGCGTTGCTGCACATAATTCCGCAATTGCTTACAACGAATATACACTGGTACGATTACCAGTGTCTTCTCGTATAATGATCTGGTGAGATGCCTTCAACTTCTACTACTTCCAATTAAATATGTTTCTGCAACTCACCAGTTGAAGCTAAGGATGATGGTCCTCTTCCTCAACCGGGGGGAACGAATCAGCTCCAGATAGGACTGATTCTTAGTCAAGTAAGCAATCGTTTTTGACTCCACCTCACCCTGGTGATACTCATTCAGCTTGTGTTTCAAGGCATCTGAGTCTACTGGTGAGGACTTTTTGCTAGCGAACTTCATCAAAACATCATGCGCTTGAGTCAGGTGACCTTTTGCCGCCAACCATCGCGCAGATTCTGGGAGGATACTGTGGAGTCAAGCAAATTATGATGTTTTCTCAGGTCTGTATTTAAAGAAATGTTTGTATTTGTATGTTTTTTTACCAAATGGCTAATCGGTCAGCGGTTCATTCTGAAAATAACAGCATCAAGTCAACGTGGGAATTCGTAGCACTGTTTTTATGTCAAGGCTTTCCTTAGTTAAAACTAAGTCTATGGGTAGCTGTGTGGTTGTTGTGTTATTTTGCAGTTGTATTGTTTACATAAGCTACGTGTCAGGGTGATACTATTTGTAAGAGGATTCACGTGTCCTGCTCGGGGGAACTACACGTGTTTTGAAGTTCGGAATAAAAGTTGGTCTCTTTTCGAACACAGGACTGGAGTTTGCTTCAAT